CTTTAAAGCTGTTTTCAGGGCTTTAAAGCTGTATTTTTCGGGCTTTAAAGCTGTATATTAGGGTTTTAATGGCTTTTTTGGGGCTTTAAGAGCTCTTTTTTGGTGCTCTAAAGCTGTTTTTTAGAGGTTTAAAGCTGTTTTGTGGGCTTTTATGTTTATATTCATGCATTTAGATGCTTTTATCCAAAGCGACTTAAAAAGTATTACAGCTATCATAAGATCTCTAGAGGAAAAGAAAGACAGGGACCTGCTGTTCCTCTCTCTTAAAGCTGTTTTTTGGGGCTTTAAAGGCTTTTTTCTGGCTTTAAAGGCTGTTTTTTGTGGCTTACAATCTGTTTTTGGGGCTTTAAAGCTGTTTTGTGGCTTTAAAATCTGTTTTTTGGGGCTTAAAAGCCTTTTTGTGGCTTTAAAAGCTGTATTTTGGGGCTTTAAAGGCTTTTTTCTGGCTTTAAAAGCTGTTTTTTGTGGCTTACAATCTGTTTTTTGGGGCTTTAGAGCTGTTTTGTGGGGCTTTAAAGCTGTTTTGTGGCTATAAAAGATGTTTTTTGGGGGCGTTTAAGTTGTTTTGGGGGCTTTAAAGCTATTTTAGTGGCTTTAAAATCTGTTTTTTTGGGGCTTAAAAGGGCTTTTTGTGGCTTTAAAAGCTGTTTTTTGGGGCTTAAAAGGCTTTTTGGGGCTTTAAAGCTATATTTTGGGGCTTTAAAGCTGTATTTTAGGGCTTTTAAGGCTTTTTTGTGGCTTTAAAAGCTGTTTTGGGGGGTTCTAAAGCGGTTTTTGGGGGGTTTAAAGCTTTTTTGTGGGCTTTTATGTTTATACTTATGCATTTGGACGCTTTTATCCAAAGCGAGTTACAAAGTATTACAGCTATCGTAAGATCTCTAGAGAAAAGACAAACAGGAACCTGCTGTTCCACCATCTTAAAGGTGTATTTTGGGGCTTTAAAGGCTTTTTTCTGGCTTTAAAGCTGTTTTTTGGGGGTTTAAAGCTGTTTTTGGGGCTTTAAAGGCTTTTAGTGGCTTTAAAGGCTGTTTTTGGGGCTCTAAAGCTGTTTTGTGCACTTTTAAGTCGTTTTGGGGGCTTTAAAGCTGTTTTTGTGGCTTTAATAACTGTTTTTTGGGGCTTAAAAGGCTTTTTGTTGCTTTAAAAGTTGTTCTTTGGGGCTCTAAAGCTGTTTTTTGGGGCTTAAAAGGCTTTTTGTTGCTTTAAAAGCTTTTTTGTCGCTTTAAAGCTGTTCTTTAGGGGCTTTAAAGCTGTTTTCAGGGCTTTAAAGCTGTATTTTGGGGCTTTAAAGCTGTATTTTAAGGCTTTAAAGGCTTTTTGTGGCTTTAAAAGCTGTTTTTGGGGGCTCTAAAGCTGTTTTGGGGGCTTTTATGTTTTTATTTATGCATTCGGACGCTTTTACACTTACAAAGTATTACAGCTATCGTAAGATCTCTAGAGGAAAATACAAACAGGGACCTGCTGTTCCACCATCTTAAAGCTGTTTTTGTGGCTTTAAAAGCTGTTTTGTGGCTATAAAAGCTGTTTTTTAGGGGCTTTAAAGCTGTTTTTAGGGGCTTTAAAGCTGTTTTGTGGCTTTAAAAGCTGTTTTTTAGGGGCTTTAAATCTGTTTTTAGCGATTTTAAAGCAGTTTTGTGGGCTTTTATGTTTATTTTTATGCATAAAGATAAAGCCCCCCCCCCCCCCCCTCTGTGCTCTGTGGTACTCACCAGCTTCATGGTGCAGTGTTTGTCCAGGATGACGGCGAACACTCCGGCCGTGATGAACTGAGAACAAGAAGGCACAAACATCCCGTTACAGCCTCTGACCCCCCAGCACAGGGACCCCCCCCAGGACAGGGACCCCTCAACGCTTCAGGGACCCCTCAACGCTTCAGGGACTGGACGGAAGAAAAGACTCTGGACAATCAGTTGCCAAAAGTTTTGAAGTTTTAACTGTACGAACTGGATGTATTTGCTATACAATGAACTTCAACTCATTGGATTTTGATTGTTTTATACTGAACTGAATTATGACTAGAAAGAACTGGATCGATGTAACATCTGTACTGGTTTGGCTCTACACAAAATAAACCCGAACTGTACTCAAATCGAGTGAATTTCCCGTTACTCTGCAGAAAAGTGTTACGTGTTGCTGTGTTGGTACGTGTTGCTGTGTTGGCTGCCCCTCTCTGCTCCTTCTGTCCTTCTCTCGCCCTCTCTCTCTCTCTTGCTCTCTCTTTCCCCTCACCCCCAACCGGCCGAGGCAGATGGCCGCCCACCCTGAGCCATGGTTCTGCTCAAGGTTTCTGCCTGTTAAAAGGAAGTTTTTCCTTGCCTGTGTCGCCTAGTGCTTGCTCATGGTGGGAATTGTTGGGTTTCTGTAGTTAACTTCAGAGTAGGGTCTGACCTGCTCTGTTTGGAAAGCGCTGTGAGACAACTGTTGTTGTGATGTGGCGCTATATAAATAAAATTGAATTGAAATTGAATTGAAAAGCAGAAAGAAAGGCAGACATACTGTACGATAGCCTTGCTCACCATTAGCCCGCTCCACCAGGGCACCCCCGTGGACACCACCTCCGTCAGCTCGGTGAAGTGCAGAGGAATGGAGTAGGACATGACCATCAGCCCCAGCATCACCTGGCTCACCTGGGACACACACACAGCCAATCACAGACGAGAGAGGACAACCCCAGGCCTTTAGCTATCCAAATGCATATCTTTTTTACTCGGAGATATCTTCTTTTCCTTTCAATTATCCCACTTTTCTGATGCATTTTATAGAATTCATCATTCATAGGCCTTTTGTGGTCAGAACCTTTTTAGTGGAGCTGGACAGGGACTCCAACACAGAGCATGCCGGAATCCCTGTCCAGCTCCAGGACTTTCATCTGGACCCTTTTTACCGGACTATTTCTCTCGAAGTGTGTCTCACCCCCAGGCTCTTGGGCTCTCCTCTCTGGATGGCCGCCCGCAGCTCCTGCCGCCTGTCGGTCAGCTTCACCACGTTCGCGTCCTCGTGCACCTGGACGGTGAGATCCCTGGACACCGACACGGCCATGGCCCTGCCAAGGAAAGCAGAGCTCAGCGCTCAGAGCTCAGGGGGAGACGTAAAGCGGCTGTCATCTGGCTCCGGGATAAACGGTTTCCAGCAGGACGTCCCACAGAACTGAGGCTCTGCGTTTACTCAGAGGAGTCAGCCTCTCCTGGTAAAGTGAAATGTGTGAGTTTAGTTTCTTTCTTTTGGTGGGAAAGAACTCGACCCAAGCAACTGCGGGCATCGTGGGAGTTTGGCCATCCAGTTTAAACGTGTTTTGTTGACATGGAAAAGGTTCCCAGGCATTGTTTCCACATGTCTTACAAGGAAAAAGCTAGGCTTCTTCCAATGAAGCAATAAAAAAGCTCTTTCCTAATCCAGGCCTAAAAATAAATCAAATCTAAGTGGATATGGGTTGTCTCCAGCCCCCCAAACAACACATACGCGAATCTAATTTCTATTTCCATCACTGTCATATCAACAGAGACTTTACGGGTTGTCACTGAAAAGGACTTTCCACCTGACAAAGTCATAGCTGGTCTCTGTGTATTTGCGTATCTGGTTTGAGGACGTTTGGAAAGAGGACAGATGTTTTCCTCCAGACCTGAACGTGTAAACGTGCTCTGAAATGACTGGAGGACGGAGTCTGCTGAAAAAGTGCGTGCAAATATTTAGAATATTTAAGCGAAAGCAGCTAAACGCATAGCTTAAACACAGAGAAAAAACCGAAATCAGCTTCAGGTTCGCCTCGTTTACGAGTTTGGAAACTCATCTCTTGTTTTCGTTTGACAAATGTTTTTCCTTATCTGGAGAAAAAAGAAGGATTGATTGAGAACAGATGCAGTGTCGCGTGACACGGCGCGTCCTTCCAGGGGGGCTGAGACCTGTTTACCACCGTTTACGCACTCGTTACGCACCGACTCCTGGGGGCGCGCCACCGAAACGGTCTGCAGCGGGCAGTTGTCCAGCCGGGGGCACACACGGACCTCCGGGTCAAGCCTACCCACCCTCAGGAAGAAAAAAACCCCGCTTCAAATGGCTCCATCTTACCTGTAATCCGGTTAAAAATGCGTCTTTCGTCCCCTCGGCACTGCTCGGTCCTCCGTGGATGGTCGGTAATGTTTCGTGCGCCTCCCTGACCCCTCTGCTGTCCAGGCGGGGGAGCGTGAGGGGACGTGTTTATCAGAAAGTTTGGTATTTGTGTTGGAAACCCAGCGGAGCTCCTCCTTCACTTCCTCTGCTGGTTCGGAGCATTCCTCGTTTCACTTCGGGGTGTCCGGATCTTTTCTCTGAAAGCGTTCTGAACAGAAGAGAAGGACGTCTTCCAGTGGGACAGTGATCCTCCGGACACCCTCTCACTCTTTAAGGTAAACCGACTCGGGGTCGATGCTGCTTTTCGTTTGGTGACACGGTGGGGAAACAATCAGGAACTTTAAGAACTCTAAGATCTGTCGTCTGTGAGATGCGTCAGTTTATTCCCGTTTCTCTGGAGCGATATGAGGCCCATTTGTCCCGTTATTCCTCATCGTTAAACCTGGAGGACTCCCTCCAAGTTGTGCTGTATCGTAGGCTGGGTTCTAATCTACTCTTGTGTTTCTGATTCTTTATATGTAAAGGACTAAATATAGTGTTTTTAAAATCTGAAGGATGCTCCCTTTCCTATTAAGAGTAATAGGAAGTAATACAAACTATCCTCAGAAGCCAAACAGGAGTGAATCCGACCTACCGGTGTGTAATCTGAGTGTGAAATGATCTGAGTGTGTCCTTAAACACCTGCTCTGAGAGACAGCTCCAATCCAGAGGCGGCACGACGACCAGCCGGCTCTGCAAATAGGTCAGGGAAGAAGCCGTGCAGGGGTCCAGGTCAGGGGCGGATTGTGGAGGAAAAACAAACAAAAACTGTGTGTGCTCTTCATGGAGTGGATCAAATGAACGTGGAGAGTATTGTGGATTCTACTAACTGCCAAGAGAGTGAAAGTAACCAGTAAAATACTGCGTCTGTTTGCTTGTTGGGACTGGAGAAGACACTGTGAGGACCCAGAATGGTTCTTCAGCCGAGCTATTCCCGTCTTTGGAATACCGGGATCATCTCTTTAAAAAGTCCATAAAACAGCGAGGACCTCCTTTTTTAGCAGGCAGTCCTGTTATCAGACCCTCTAGTGTCCTCAGAGGGGTGGGAGGGGCCGGAAGGCACCGGAAGGGTCACCGGAAGGGTCCGAGCTCAGAGGCCTGTGAGGGCATCAGGCCGGGGGAGCCGGGGGACCCCGGTCCCGGTTTGGATCCAGAGGGATCTGGACTCAGCCAGTGAGCTGAGAGCCTGTTTTTAGAGATCTAGCCGGATCCAGGCCCAGGGCCCCCGTCAGCCTGAATGAGCCTAAATCTTTGTATGAGTTTAAAACTGAAGTGGGTTCGTGTAAATCTGGTGCCGATATGATGTAAACAGAACTGGGATGAAGGCTGAAAATCAGAACCCCCCCCCGCAAAAAAAGGGAGAAAGAAGAAGGGGACAGTCAAACATGCAACATACACACATTTTTTAAGATGTGACAACAGATTTTTTTTTCTAATCAGCACAATAGAGCTTATATTTATGTCTTCCAAGTTGTTGTTGTTTGAAAAAAAAAGGATGGAAGTTGGACTTGTCAGTGTCTAACTGGTGGAAGGAACCGGAGACAAAATGGCCGCCGTGATGCTGGACAGGGAACTGACCGGAGCGAGGCCCCAAGAGAGTAAAGTCCAGTCCCGTCCACAGGTAAAGGACTTCAGGTGGGGGGGACTGTGAAAAGCTCAGAGAAACCACAGTAAACCACCTCAGACCCTATAGGTCAAAGGTCACAGCAGGTCAGCTAAAAATTCCTTTTTTTTTTTTTTGGGGGGGGGGGGCGGGGGGGGGACAGGCATCAGATGTTAAGGGGGCGGGGACCAGCGTCCAGATGCTGACGAGGAGGCCAGCAGGGTCCAGATGCTGGGGTAGGGACTCTTAGAGTCCAAATGCTGGGGGGCCATCAGAGTCCAGATGCTGAGGGGGGACTATCAGAGTCCAGATGCTGAGGGAGGGCCATCAGAGTCCGGAGCTCAGGGGGGACCATCAGAGTTCTGAATCTGAGGGGGGGCATCAGAGTCCTGATGCTGAGGGGGGGACTCTCAGAGTCCAGAACTCAGGGGGGCCAGGCATCAGAGTCCTGATGCTGATGGGGGGTGGGGACAATC